AAGTCCCTCCGCGGCATAACAAACATCAAAGTTGGACGAGGAGGTCAAAGGATGTTTTGTCACGGGCTTAAAACAAAGCTGCCTGTGCGTCAGGATGAACTACAAAATGGTCAGCCAAGCGGATGCGGCCCCTCACCCCCCCCACCCCCACCCCTCACCCCTTTCCCCCCCCTTCCCCTCCCTCCCCTCTCCTACAGGACGCTTTGAATACCACCTTTGTTATACTTTGTTATACTTACAGTCCGTCTAAATAACACAGCTGGTGAATTCGAGCAACAGACGCACCTGTCACTCAACACAGGTCACAAACAGGTCATCCGGGACACGCGCAGTTTTCCCCCCGCGCGACGACCCCGCCACACTCTCTCTTCTCTCTCTCTCTCTCTCTCTCTCTCTCTCTCTCTCTCTCTCTCTCTCTCTCTCTCTCTCTCTCTCTCTCTCTCTCTCTCTCTCTCTCTCTCTCTCTCTCTCTCTCTCTCTCTCTCTCTCTCTCTCTCTCTCTCTCTCTCTCTCTCTCTCTCTCTCTCTCTCTCTCTCTCTCTCTCTCTCTCTCTCTCTCTCTCTCTCTCTCTCTCTCTCTCTCTCTCTCTCTCTCTCTCTCTCTCTCTCTCTCTCTCTCTCTCTCTCTCTCTCTCTCTCTCTCTCTCTCTCTCTCTCTCTCTCTCTCTCTCTCTCTCTCTCTCTCTCTCTCTCTCTCTCTCTCTCTCTCTCTCTCTCTCTCTCTCTCTCTCTCTCTCTCTCTCTCTCTCTCTCTCTCTCTCTCTCTCTCTCTCTCTCTCTCTCTCTCTCTCTCTCTCTCTCTCTCTCTCTCTCTCTCTCTCTCTCTCTCTCTCTCTCTCTCTCTCTCTCTCTCTCTCTCTCTCTCTCTCTCTCTCTCTCTCTCTCTCTCTCTCTCTCTCTCTCTCTCTCTCTCTCTCTCTCTCTCTCTCTCTCTCTCTCTCTCTCTCTCTCTCTCTCTCTCTCTCTCTCTCTCTCTCTCTCTCTCTCTCTCTCTCTCTCTCTCTCTCTCTCTCTCTCTCTCTCTCTCTCTCTCTCTCTCTCTCTCTCTCTCTCTCTCTCTCTCTCTCTCTCTCTCTCTCTCTCTCTCTCTCTCTCTCTCTCTCTCTCTCTCTCTCTCTCTCTCTCTCTCTCTCTCTCTCTCTCTCTCTCTCTCTCTCTCTCTCTCTCTCTCTCTCTCTCTCTCTCTCTCTCTCTCTCTCTCTCTCTCTCTCTCTCTCTCTCTCTCTCTCTCTCTCTCTCTCTCTCTCTCTCTCTCTCTCTCTCTCTCTCTCTCTCTCTCTCTCTCTCTCTCTCTCTCTCTCTCTCTCTCTCTCTCTCTCTCTCTCTCTCTCTCTCTCTCTCTCTCTCTCTCTCTCTCTCTCTCTCTCTCTCTCTCTCTCTCTCTCTCTCTCTCTCTCTCTCTCTCTCTCTCTCTCTCTCTCTCTCTCTCTCTCTCTCTCTCTCTCTCTCTCTCTCTCTCTCTCTCTCTCTCTCTCTCTCTCTCTCTCTCTCTCTCTCTCTCTCTCTCTCTCTCTCTCTCTCTCTCTCTCTCTCTCTCTCTCTCTCTCTCTCTCTCTCTCTCTCTCTCTCTCTCTCTCTCTCTCTCTCTCTCTCTCTCTCTCTCTCTCTCTCTCTCTCTCTCTCTCTCTCTCTCTCTCTCTCTCTCTCTCTCTCTCTCTCTCTCTCTCTCTCTCTCTCTCTCTCTCTCTCTCTCTCTCTCTCTCTCTCTCTCTCTCTCTCTCTCTCTCTCTCTCTCTCTCTCTCTCTCTCTCTCTCTCTCTCTCTCTCTCTCTCTCTCTCTCTCTCTCTCTCTCTCTCTCTCTCTCTCTCTCTCTCTCTCTCTCTCTCTCTCTCTCTCTCTCTCTCTCTCTCTCTCTCTCTCTCTCTCTCTCTCTCTCTCTCTCTCTCTCTCTCTCTCTCTCTCTCTCTCTCTCTCTCTCTCTCTCTCTCTCTCTCTCTCTCTCTCTCTCTCTCTCTCTCTCTCTCTCTCTCTCTCTCTCTCTCTCTCTCTCTCTCTCTCTCTCTCTCTCTCTCTCTCTCTCTCTCTCTCTCTCTCTCATGCCTGTTTGGAGAGTGGAGGTGAATTTCCTCGTATTTTACGCCCCCTTTAAAACATTCACACGTAGGTGAAGGATGGTTACCTGTGTACCGAGCATACCTGTCTTGTTTACAATACTTTAAAACAGTGAGGACCTTGCATCCTGCAGTACAAAGCGAAACGAGATTCGTCCCACTGAAAAAATAATCCATCCCGCTTCTACAAACTTGTTTTCCTCGACCGGGAATAAACAACATCGTTAAATCGGGAAACTAACAAGTGAGCATCGCTATTGTGTTCCACGCGAGAGTTAAAAAGATTCCGGTGAATGTGTTTGCGATTACAAGAGGACTCGTGGATTTGCCTTTGCGCCTGACACCCTCTTTCTTTATGAATACGTGTTTCGCATAAATTGCCTTCCTGTCATGTTTTCCCTGTGTTTATGACGTGTCTTTGGGCGTAGGGATATGTGTGTATGTTTGCGTGGGTTGGTAGGAGAGGGGAGAGGGGTGTAGGTGTGTGTGTGAAAGAAAAAATATGAAAACAGAAAAAAATAGATTAGTATTAATGGGAAATATAGAGAAGTGCTAATATATATATATATATATATATATATATATATATATATATATATATATATATATATATATATATATTATATATATATATATACATATATATATAATATAAATTATGTACATATATATATATATATATATATATATATATATATATATATATATATATACATATATATATATATATATATATATATATATATATATATATATATATATATATATATATACATATATATTTATATGTAAACTTTTAATACACACACACGCGCGCGCGCG